GCAGTACCACACGAATAGTAATTCTCCCATAATAACACTTAACAGATCTGATCTATTCTTATGTAACAAGACATGAAACTATAAGTGTTAATTAAGTGTAAATAACTCAAAATGAGGTATTTCTATCTAAGAATATGTTTTGGGGTGTTGACAGTTCAGCTACCAATAGCAAGGTGATATTGACCTGTATGTTTCATATTTATTACATTGTTACTTATTAAAGTTAATATACCAGAAATCATGTTCAGGTTGGGAGTCACACTTTAGTTTCTGTTGATTTATTTATAATTGGATTTCTTTATAATTTGTGTACGTGCTATGTTTGAATTCAAAGATGTTTTTTTCTGCACATTTTTTGCAATAAATTGTTAATAAATGAGTGTGTGAACGGTGTGTGTGTAGAAAGCTTCAGAATATAGAGAGGAAGGAATGTGGACGCTTTGGTTTCTGTAAGAGATTTCTGCTGAGAGAGGAGGAGAACAATATCATGGAGATAAAGACATTTGAGACAATTCCAACATTTTAGGAAAACTGTCGGAATAATCAAATATAAAATACGACGAGTAAAGTTTAAATAATAATTAATCTGAGCAATACTCTATGTAATAATAATTAATCTGAACAATACTCTATGTAATAATAACTAATCTGAGCAATACTCTATGTAATAATAACTAATCTGAGCAATACTCTATGTAATAATAACTAATCTGAGCAATACTCTATGTAATAATAATAACTAATCTGAGCAATACTCTATGTAATAATAATTCATCTGAGCAATACTCTATGTAATAATAACTAATCTGAGCAATACTCTATGTAATAATAACTAATCTGAGCAATACTCTATGTAATAATAACTCATCTGAGCAATACTCTATGTAATAATAATAACTCATCTGAGCAATACTCTATGTAATAATAACTAATCTGATCAATACTCTATGTAATAATAACTAATCTGATCAATACTCTATGTAATAATAACTAATCTGATCAATACTCATATGTAATAATAATAACTAATCTGATCAATACTCTATGTAATAATAACTAATCTGATCAATACTCTATGTAATAATAACTAATCTGATCAATACTCTATGTAATAATAATAACTCATCTGATCAATACTCTATGTAATAATAACTAATCTGATCAATACTCTATGTAATAATAACTAATCTGATCAATACTCTATTATGCATTTATACTGTGCATATTGTAATATTATGCACATCTTTTTACATACTTGTTTTTCTTATATCTTCTACTATATATTTTAATTCTACAATGTAACAATCCCAATTTCCCCCTGAGACCAATGAAGTATTTCTGATTCAGAGTGGGACATTGGGTGGTCCCCACTGGCCAGTCACATCCTCTGGAAAAACTCCAGTTCCGCATTTTTATTCCACTCCATCGCCGATGCGCTTTAGCCACTATTACAACTCTGTGTTGAAGACTGTCTTCACAACACATGGGCAAATACATGCATTTAAACAGATTTGTTCTAGCAGGCACCTCCACTATCCAACTGTGCCGGGGACAGCTAATGTCATGTAGCTGTATAAACTATAAATGCTATCCAGCTAAAAACTTTGACCGGAAGGCCGGAGGCCGCTAGCTGGACGTGGCCGCTAGCTTGCGCGTATGTAAAAGCTAAACACACTACAAAACTCAACCTAATATCCAGGAATGAAACGATATAGAGACTGTGCTACAGTGGAAGAAATAAAAGCAACATTATTTAGTGTTTTAAAGAAATAAACTCCCCTTGGGTTGAGATACTTACTGTAGTCCGGTGTCAGATCAAATTAATGAAAGTGAGGTGATTGTGGGTAAGAAGCGTACGTGACGTCACATTGCCGTCAAGTGCGACGTAACGTTGCCGTGGTAACGACGGAATCTACTTCTGGTTTATTGTTGTTATAATAAAAAGCATTTGAAATACAGTCAGTAACCATCGTCATTCCGATGTGGGGGGAGTGGTTTTCACCATCATTATCATCATTATTTATTTTTAAATGACTAATATTAGCCTACAATAAGGGGGACATGATCAAATAGGAATATAATTGTCTTTTAAATAACGTAAACTAAAGGGAACAATCTATTTGACACAGCTGAAGCTCTGGCCTTCCTTAAAAACTAATTTCATAAAAATCACAGTTGTATTACAAACAATGCACTGTTTTTAGAGAACATAATTTCGTAACTAATGCACCATAATACATTCTGACGAAAAATAAAAATTATTATGAAAAATAATAAAATAAAAGAAGTAAATGTAGCAGAGTCCGTGACTCCACCACGTGATGTTAAGGAGTCGTGGTCATTTCACGTATTCTGGTGAGACCAGGTTGCCTTTATAGCCCAACATTAGCCACCTTTAGCTTAGCGGTGGTGACGTGGAGTCATGTGACCGTGCTGTAGTTCCTTTATAGCCCAACTTTAGCCACCTTTAGCTTAGCGGTGGTGACGTGAAGTCATGTGACCGTGCTGTAGTTCCTTTATTGCGCAACATTAGCCACCTTTAGCTTAGCGGTGGTGACGTGAAGTCATGTGACCGTGCTGTAGTTCCTTTATAGCCCAACATTAGCTTTTTACTTCAGAAATCCTAAAGTGGTGTTAATATGTGGAGATTATTCTGCTGAACTAAACGTGTAAGAATCATAAACGTTTGTTTGACACAGAGATTACTTCAATACTAACCTGTTATAACTAAAGCCTTGAGGTTTAGTTATAACACAGAAACAAAGCAAACACATCATTTTCCAACCAGGAGAAACACTTTTGAAATCAACTCACTCTCAGAGTTTCATGGATTATTAAAGAAGTTTTATTATTTTTTTGGTACATAGCAAATGACAGCATTTATTACAGTGATGTTGAACATCGTCATGATTTCTGGAGGATTCTGCTGTGTTCAGAATTTAAGACGATTTGCTTCATCGTAATCTCATGGAAACCAAATTGGTCAAAACTCTTAATTTTTTCAAGTAGAATTTGTGATGCAAAAATCATCAAGAAATCAAGAAAAATCTTCAACAAAAAAATGTGTTAAAAAAAGCAACATTCTTCATAACAAAATCAAGAAAATTACGAAATAATGGTCAATATTTTTCTAAAATCGAAAACAAAATTCTTATGAAGCAAAAACATTTCTCGGTTCCAAAATCACAACAATTGTTTACGGACAATGTTAACATTTTAAGTACGAAATAATTAGTCTCCTGAATTTGGGAAAATCCTAAATCACAAAAATAAGTGAAATTCTAAAGAAATTAAAATGTTTCATAAAAGTCCAAAAAGTAATGATTACATATTATTGATCATCTTGTGAAATAAGTACAATCCTCAATAATACAAAAACAAGCACATTTCTTGATCACATACATGTAACAAAGCACATTACCTTTTAAAAAGGAAACTTCTACAAAATTATGTAAATTTTTAATTACAACATGTTAGTATTTAATATCTTATGAATTTGGGAATGCTCTCCAATAGGTGGAGTTCTTAAAAACAGCTAAATTACTACAAAATACAGACAAATACCATCAAAAATGTAATTAAAATTCATATAAAGTAAGAAAAATACTGAATGATTGAAAATGATTACAAAACTGAGCTCAGTACACGTGAAATAAGAAAATTAAAGAAAAGTTAAAATCTTATACATTTTGGCAAATTACAAATATAATCGGATTTCTCTAAAAAAAAGTTCGGATTTCTCTTTTTTTACAAACAATCTCTTCAGACCAAAATCAAGCTGGATTCTTCTGAAATAACATTTTTCAATATAAAATCAGCATTGTTATGAAATAAGAAGTGTTTGGACTATTTACTTTTGTTCAATTCCTATTTGTATATTGTTCAGCTAAATCTGGTCCTGCTGCTGAAATGACCCATGTGACCCACAAGGGGATCAAATATCCCATCTCGCTGATCAGATGAATTGTTGTGAAAAACGTAACATTTTATAAACTGTACTTTTTCTGATTTGTTGAATATAAAAAAACGTTGTTGTGCTCGAGGTCTACAAATCCAACACTAGGTGGCGCTGTAACTCGTTCCTCCTGTTATCTCAGGAATCACTACATGAGATTCAAACACTGGGTATTGTAACACTGTTTTTAGAGGATATTTGAACATTAATATATGGCATTCATTGGCCAACTCTGTTCCTGAGCGGCCTGGGTTGGTGTGTCTGTGGTTTCAAACTGCACCGACTGCATTGACTTTTCTAAATAAAACTAACTTGTGATGTTTTTTAAAGATCTTCATCTTCAGTGGGAACCAATGGGCTTGGAGCTGACAGGAAGTCAGGAAACATGAGGCACTAACACATTGCTGGTGACTTTCAGAGTGAAAGCTATATTTTCTAACGTTGGTTAAAAGCTATAAGAGCTGATAAACCCATGTGTGTGAGAGGAGCTCCTTGGAGCTGCTACTCTGCTCCCTGAGCTCCTTCCTCTTCAGCAGGAACACCCAGGTAATCCAGCTCAATGTCCTCCTGTCGGCTCGGCCTCCGCCCCCTGGTGGCCTGGAGAGACATGACAGCACACAGTGAGACTTCCTGCATCACTCCTGTTCGATAACACACACTGTTTCATTCAGTCAGTGGTGGAACAACAACATGTTTCAGTACCTTATCATTCAGTCAGTGGAACAATAACATGTTTCAGTACCTTATCATTCAGTCAGTGGAACAACAACATGTTTCAGTACCTCATCATTCTGTCAGTGGTGGAACAACAACATGTTTCAGTCCCTTATCATTCAGTCAGTGGAACAACAACATGTTTCAGTACCTCATCATTCAGTCAGTGGTGAAACAACAACATGTTTCAGTACCTCATCATTCAGTCAGTGGTGAAACAACAACATGTTTCAGTACCTCATCATTCTGTCAGTGGTGGAACAACAACATGTTTCAGTCCCTTTTCATTCAGTCAGTGGAACAACAACATGTTTCAGTACCTTTTCATTCAGTCAGTGGAACAACAACATGTTTCAGTACCTCATCATTCAGTCAGCGGTGGAACAAGAACATGTTTCAGTACCTTATCATTCAGTCAGTGGAACAACAACATGTTTCAGTACCTCATCATTCAGTCAGCGGTGGAACAAGAACATGTTTCAGTACCTTATCATTCAGTCAGTGGTGGAACAACAACATGTTTCCGTACCTTGCAGTAGAAGTAAAGGCCGACGGTCACCAGCAGCACCAGCAGCAGAGTCAGCGGCAGGACGACGGCTCGGATGATAAAAGGTTCTGGATCTGATCGAACACATGGACAGCATCACATCAAGAGTCAGCAAACACACAGAGACTTGAACCCACTTCAGCATGGAGACTCCTCTCTACAGTTATATTACAATAAACTACATCTTCTTAAGATCTTCATTCAACCCCAACCCTTTTTCCTGTTCATAGCAGACAGTAGGACTGTAGGGAGAAGCTGCTAGCTGTATATGTTAAACAGTCAGTACTCATGGCAATACTCCAATGTAAACTACAGCTGACTGGAGGATTGCTGTTCTGGATTCATGTCTTCAGGGTTCATTGCACTTATTGTACGTTGCTCTGGAAAGCTACATGTGATGTAAGGGTGTGACTGCTTCAGGGCTCACAGTAAAACACTCAGTCCTCACCAGCGTTCTCCTGGGGAGCATCACGCTCTGTCCTACAGTAAACTCTAACAGCTCACCTGTGACGGTGACGGAGAGCAGACGGCTCTCAGAGGAGAAGTCCTGAGAAAAAGCAGAGACGTGATAAACACAGCTGTAGCTTCCCTGGTGGGCGGGCTCTGCAGCCGGGAACAGGAAGTGGGCAGAGTGATTGACAGCTGGCTCTGAGTTGAAGTTGTTTGCTGAGTTGATGGAGGTGAAGTTGAGCTGGAAGGAGCCTCCTGGGTACTGAGGCTGGATGGAGCAACTGATGCTGAAGGTGGAGCCTCTGAACACCTGGAACCCCTGCTGCTGGGCCCCGGAGACCCCGTACATGGAGGAGGACACAGAGATGTTGGGCTGAAACAGCTTATCTGGAGAGAGAGAGAGAGAGAGAGAGAGAGAGAGAGAGAGAGAGAGAGAGAGAGAGAGAGAGAGAGAGAGAGAGAGAGAGAGAGAGAGAGAGAGAGAGAGAGAGAGAGAGAGATGTAGTGAAACACTAAGGGTTTAAAAACTCCTCCATGTTTCTCATCAGAGAGTGAAATCTAAAATCTACACTCACTCTTGCTTTCACCAAGAGAAACACATGTTAGTGAGTTGCTGAGCTGCTGTACTGTTTACTTTGTTGTTCCTGCTTTTGTAGATCCACATGTTTGCCTGCCCCAGCAGCAACAATAAAAACAGTCTCTGTGAAAACCTCCTCTCAGTCTGAAGACACCGCTTTGAAGACATTACAAAGAGCTTTCAGTCTGTGACAGTCCAGGTAGCAGAGAGGGATTGTCTCTTTGTCAGAGAGAGAGAGGCTGACTAACAAAGAGACAGAGGACATGATGTCATAAACAATGTCCCTGATGGGCTTACCTGAGCAGGTGAGAGTCAGGAAGTAGTGAAAGGAAGATGATACTGCACACTCCCTCAGAGCAGATCCAGACTGAACACAGTCAGAGTCGATCCACCACACAGATCTCTCTAAGGACTCCTTTCTCCTTCCCACAGAAACAGCAGAGCCACAGTCGAGCTCTCTGCAGAGAACTCCTGCTGCCTTCAGGTTCCAGTGAGAGCCCACCACTGGTCTCCATTCTCCCTGATGTTTCACCTCCAGGTCTCCTGCACAGCGAGTCTCTCCTCCCACCAGCCTAACACCAGGCTCTGAAGAGAAACAAGAGAGTGATCAGAGAGAGAATAAAGTGAGTTTGATGAGAACAGAATGAACCAATCACAGCTCCTCTCTACCTGAGCAGGTGAGGCTAACAGCTGTGCCAGGTGAGCAGGTGTTTCTCTCTGAGGCTGAGCGACAGTCCAGGAGAGCAGACTCATGGCCTCCACACTGGAACTCTTTGGTCCACATTGGAGCCTCCCCTTCTCCATAGAGCGCCCCCTGGAGGACTGAAGGAGCCCCACAGCCCAGCTGCCGGCAGACCACCTGAGCATCCTGCTGGTCAAAGTCAGTCTCACACACTGAGGACCAGGACGGGTTAGACTGGTCAGACGGGTCAGAGTTCACCTCCAGTCTGCCTGAGCACAGACCAGTCCCCCCCAGCAGCCTGACAGAGTCTGCAGAGGACAGAAGATCAAACAGAGGTCAAAGACACACCATCAAAGAGATGAAACAATATTTCAGAGATTCAAACTGGACTCAGTTCCAACATGAGTTGATGATGAACAACAGAACACATGTTTATAAGAACACAGACTGCAGGTACCCTCACATCTACATCTGATACCCTCTAGCAAGTGGTCTCCATTAGTGAACCCTTTCCCTGTGTCTTCAACCAAACATCCTCCTCTGCAGATCCTCTGCTCCTTCTGCTCAGGGACCATGACGTGCACAGACATTTGGAGGGGCTATTGCTCTAAACTGGAAAAAGGGCCTCCCCCCCGAAAAAATAAATAAGACCAAAACGATTATTACATTAACTAATTTGAACAGTAATTCACATCATCATCTCATAACAAAATAAGCTAAGGCAACTACTTGCATTCAGTGACTTGATTTTTAAAATGAAAACCAGGGATATTTTTTGTTTTGCGGTCCATATCTCATTAAAATATCTAATGTTACTAACTTGTGAGTTCAAATCCCATTAGAAAATGAATTCTAAAAGATGAAAGCCAAAGGAGACGGACTCTGCTCTGAAGGAGCTTCTCGGGTGAAGGACGCCTCGAGGAGCCCCGGCTGAGCTGATCAAAGCTGTGTCCAGGAGGTCTTGGTGCTGTTATGGTGGAACCCAAAGAACCTGCTGCTGGAAACCAGAGGCTCAGAGAGAGGTGGAGCTGAAGCAGGAGTCCTTTCAGACTGGTTGTCCCAGGGGACTCCTGAGGCAGCAGACACACATGTCTCAGTAGTTATACATACCCTGTTTCAATCACATTAGTATGCATAAAAAATGACAGGTCACATCCCCCACTAATTATGCTAATGACCCCCTTTGATATGCTAATGGAACTTTGTTCGAGGTGTTATCCGTATTAGGTGCCTTACAAATAATGGACGTCCACTCTCGGGAGCGTCGGAGTGGTGCGGTTACCCTAAGTGACAGACCTAAAGTATCCGGCACCTTCCCTGGCTTGTACATTTTTGGTGATGCGCCCTGGAGATATCAGACTATTTTAAACAACTTTTCCCCGCATTCTGTGCATTTTCAGGAGAGCGTCAATGTTAAATGATATCGTGCAAAATGACTGGCTAAAACTCTCTTCCAGACATTTAAAAATACTTCCCCCGACCATTTAAACATTATTTCTGGCTTGTAAAGTGCAGTTATGCGCCCTGGAGGTATTATACTATTTCAAACAACTTTTCCCCGCCGTTCAAACACTTATTCCTGGGTACAAGTGTTATCTTTTCCCCCTGGGTGTGTGCTACAAGTGAAGCCACACTTAAAACCTCCTGAATTAAAACATTTCCCCCGACTTTAAACACTACTGTAGCCATGTTTTGAGCACTTATTCCTGGGTACAAGTGTTATCTTTTCCCCCTGGGTGTATGCTACAAGTGAAGCCACACTTAAAACCTCGTGAATTAAAACATTTCCCACGACTTTAAACACTAATGTAGCCATGTTTTGAGCACTTATTCCTGGGTACATGTGTCATCTTTTCCCCTGGGTGTGTGTGAGACAAGAGAAACCACACTTAAAATCTCATGAATTAAAACATTTCCCACGACTTTAGCAGTGACTCTGCTGCCTGCATTTAAACAGATTCAGCCATATCTAACAAGACTTTAGCCCTGATCAGAGCCCTGTTCTCAAATCGTATTTTCAGAATCTGACCCTCTGCCGTAACTCTGCTCCCCGAGGTCCTAGAGATTCGGCGATGGTACCGTTGGATGCGGGGTACGTGGAAATGGGGGGTACAGAAAAGCCTGAACCGAACAGAGCTTGTTATCAAAAGTTATGAATTAGTAGCAATATTTCACAATTCTCCCTGGAGCTCTCCGGGGTATTATATATATTATATATATATATTTTTGGGCTAGAAAGGTGACCTCTCTGGGTGATTTAGTCAGTTTATGGAGCTTAGCCCACAAATCCTGGATGATCCAGGCCAAATGTTGGTGCTCATAGGCGGCCTGCCATGTGCCCCCACCCGTGGAAAGCAAAAGAAAGTGAAGAAAACGGTTAATTATATCTTAAAATAATCAAAAATGAAGTTGTGAAAAATTGTCAAAAAAATGACAGAGTGCCAACGGAGAAGGGGCTCAACTGTTTGGCGCTTCGGGACGTTTTTTCCCCTTCTCGCATGTAGGTGTGATATCACAGTTAGGTGTGATATCCTTTGATGTGAGGGGTGAGGTGTTATCACGTGTAGGTGTGATATTCTCCCCTGTAGTAGATCCTTTGTTGTCTAATCTAATTAGCCTTTGATGTCTCCCCTTTGTTGTCTAATCTAATTACCCTTTGATGTCTGTCCTTTGATGTGAGGGTTGAGGTGTTATCACGTGCAGGTGTGATATTTCCCCCTGTAGTAGACTACTTTGTTGTCTAATCTAATTACCCTTTGATGTCTGTCATTTGATTTAAGGGAGGTGAGGTGTTATAACATGCCGGTGTGATATCACACCGGCATGTTATAAGCCTTTGATGTCAATCTAATTACCCTTTGATGTCTGTCCTTTGACCGGCAGTGGCTCAGTCAGTAGGGGCTTGGACTGGGAGCCGTAGGGTCGCTGGTTCAAGTCCCCGACCAGACCTAAATATGGAGTGTGGACTTCTACTTGGAGAGGTCCCAGTTCACCTCCTCCCCTGCCGTGGTGCCCTTGAGCAAGGCACCGGACACCCCCCTTCCCCCCCCACTCCCATTGCTCCCCGGGCGCTGTACAATAGCTGCCCACTGCTCCTAGTACTAGACTCCTTGTACTAGGCTGGGTTAAAAGCAGAGGCCAAATTTCACTGTGTGTGCTGTGTGCTCTGCATGTGTGACCATTAAAGAGGGTTTCATCCCTCCCTATTCTATTCTATTCTATTGATCAGTGTTTGTAACTAGTGTTAATTAAGGCAGTCTCTTTGAAGTTGTGTGAGACTGTCTCGCACCCCGTCCCCCTCGCACCCCGTCCCCCTCTCACCCCTTCCTGTCACCCCCCTTCCTTTTGCTGTGATGCCAGAAGATAGTGAGGGGTGGAGCTAGGTAAAAAAAGAAATCCGTGCAAACTAAATAAAAAGCCACTCATGACAACTTTACAACTGGTAGAATGTCAATCACTGTGTAACACTTTTTTATTTTCTTAAAGACTGTGACTCTAAAAGACAAGTTTTGTGATTTTAACACTTTTTTTACTGACACTAGGCAGATTTAGGCTTTTTTCTCTTGCCAAGATACTTTTAGATACACTTTGAGGTATGTAAAAAGTTAAAACTAGAAAAATCAAATACTTTGTCTAAATATATGTTATTTAAGAATGTGACTCTTAATGGCAGCTTTTTGATTTAAGTAAGACAATCCAGTTAAACAATGTCGTTTTTGATGACTTTACTGATTTTTGCTTTTTTTTTCTGCTACCAAGATACTTTTAGATACAGTTTGTTGTCTGAAAACTTTACAACTGGTAGAATGTCAATCACTTTGTAACACATTTATTTTCGTAAAGACTGTGACTCTAAAAGGCAAGTTTGTGATTTTAACACTTATTTACTGACACTAGGCAGATTTTGGCTTTTTTCTCTTTTCTTGTGTTACTAAGATACTTTTAGATACACTTTGATGTATGCAACACTTAACAACTGGTAGAATATGAAGTACTTTGTAAGGAATTTGGTTTCTTTTAATGGCCGTTTTTTAAAACACTTGTCCAGTTAAACAATGTAGGTCTTTTTTTTTTTTCTGATAACCTTACATATTTTAGTTATTTTCTGCTACCAAGATACTTTTAGATACACTTTGATGTATGCAACACTTAACAAAAGGGTATAATATGAAGTACTTTGTAAGGAATGGGGTTTCTTTAATACCCTGTTTTTTTTTTAAATACTTGTTCAGTTAAACAATGTAGGTTTTCTCTGATATTTTAGTTATTTTCAGCTACCAAGATACTTTTTTTTGATACACTTTTATGTAGGAACATTTGACAACTGGTAGAATGTCAATTATTTTGTAACAAATGTATTTTCTCAATGACTGTGACTCTAAAAGGCAAGTTGGTGATTTTAACACTTTTTTTACTGACACTAGGCAGATTTAGCTTTTTTTCTCCCGTTGTCTTTCACTTACTTTTTGGATACAGTTTTATGTATGACAACTTTACAACTGGTAGAAAGTTAAGTACTTTTTCTGAACAGATTTTCTTTAAGACTGTGACTCTTAAAGGCACTCTGGGATTTTAGTAAGACAATCCAGTTTTCTGGAAATAACTTTCTCCTACAAAGATACTTATAGTTACACTTTAATGGATGCAAAACTTTATAACTTGGTAAAATATTCATTAATTTGTAATGAATTGAGTTTTTTTTTTTTCTTTCTTTTTTTTCAACATACTATTGTACACAACGACTTTTCCATATATATTTTTTCTGACAAACTATACTTTGACTTTTTCCGTAAAATCGTGACAAACTATTACTTATTCTTATTAGAATAAGTAATAGTTATTTGACCTCTTGCTGCTTGGTTGGAAATGATAGATGAAAAAGCTACAAAGCTTAAAGAACTTTCTAAAAACTCTCAATTCTACAGATGACTCCCCCCACTCAACGCAATAAGTCCACCCCCACTCAGCAAATCATCTAAAATGAAGGACCCCACTAAGACGACCGTTGAAAACTAGCCATGGATCTGAGAAAAACCAAGTCTCCCCCCGCGAGTTGCAGCCAGGAACAAACTCCTGGACTACCATCATCACCACCATTTTGGACACCCAAATCTTGCAGTACCACTGCTGCTGATGTTACTCCTTGGGCCAAGACGTCTCTGTTTTTGGACACACTGAAATCGGAGTTGGTTGATATTCTGGAGAGGGTGCTGCATCGGTACAGAGAAGAAATCTGCAATGGATGCCGAGTCAGTCACCCCGGCCAGAGGCAACACGAGTGTCTGTATGACATGCCAGAATATTTCTTCAGAAACAATTGCAACGAGTTAATGAAAAGACTTTGGCTCGCCGACTTCATTACTGTGATTGACCAGAGTCTTAATGATAAAAACATTTACACGGCTGAATGGAGGATCCAAGGCGCTTTGGAGGCTTTTCTGCACAATCTCAAAAACTGCAGACGCCTCAAGGAGAGACTTGAAAAGATCCATGCCGAGCTGGATGGAGAAGAAGAAGACTAACTAGAGAATGCAATTCCTGAAGAAATTGCTAGTGGGAATAATTTATGCTGAAA